GGGGGGGGAAGAGGAGCCTCACAAACGTTCAACGTATCCAGCTTTGTTGAGCAGCGACGCATAATGATTGCCAGCCAACCCACTAACTACCACATTTCATCCGGCTGATTGTATGAAAATCACTAACCGTTTTACGTCCTCATCGACACACAAAAAAGTTAATTTAGAGGGCCAGCTATTTCGACCTTGCCGAGCTGTCAGGGCCAATCCGGGCAGAGGGGGACACAGCGTCCCAACAGACAGACAGTGTACAGTGGAACCTGTGTAAGTAAGACGCAACTGCAGGGGCGCCAGAAGACATTTTCCGTCTTAGACTTCTTAGACAGGGGATTTAGGGGGGAGGTGGACGGGGGTTTCAAAGGCCTAGCTGGTGAGATCAAGGGTCGCTTGTCCGTCGACAAGCGACAAGCAGTGGTCAAAACTTCACACCTCTCAACTGCTATCCTCTCTGACAATGACATGTGTCAGTCTTACTTTTCCAATTACCACCAGTGCTTGTATTTCATAGGACCACTGTTTGAACATCTCCTTTACTTCCACCCTTAGCCCCACCCATCGGTGTAACAAGCACAGTCAACCAATGCCATCCCTCACTGCCATGTAACCATGTTTCGAGGAACTTTTCTCGGCTGGCCGTTCGATAAGGGCGGCAGACATTGGTCAAACTAATTTCACACCTCTGGCTTCTGGCTACCCACGAACCGTGGTGGCTCGCTAGTCGAGCACTTTAACTGGCAGTCGTGAGATTTCACATCCACACCATTCAGACCATCTGCATTGCTCAGGGCTCACGTAGATGGGGCAACACCAAGGAGTTTAGAACTACTTTTAATCTCCTTGGGCAACACACAGAATTTAAGTGTAGAATTCTGTGGGGCAACATCAAGGACCTAACAAGAAACATCAAGGAGGTTATACAGTAGTAAGGTCCTTGGGTAACATCTACCCCTAGACCTCCTCAGTACTGAGAAGGCATAGATCTACCCCTAGACGGTCAGAGAGGCATAGATCTACCCCTAGACCTCCTCAGTACTGAGAAGGCATAGATCTACCCCTAGACGGTCAGAGAGGCATATATCTACCCCTAGACCTCCTCAGTACTGAGAAGGCCTTGATCTACCCCCAAATGACACCCCTACTCCCATTCATCCCCAGGCGCATGGCGTTTAGAGTAGTCGGCGGAACCAAACTTACGAATAATTTTGTTTCAAATCAGGGCTGAGCGAGCAAAGCATTTTCCGTCAAGCAGTCAAGCGTGCGTATAGATACTCCCGTCTTAGACAGGGAAAAACGGATTTTTCTTTCCGTTTCTGCGTTGG